GCTGCTCTGGATGCCTGGAGCAGCCCATATCTACAGCAAGTCCTGCAGGGCTGGAGGAGCCCCCTGCACATGGCGGGGGGGGACCTGATCCAGCCCCCACCAGTTAACCGGAACCAGTAACTCTAGGGTGATGCTTACTGGTTAACCTTTTACATCCCTACTCTGGACCGCCCCAGGGATAGGACAGCTCTGACAACTTAAGTATAAGAGTGACTCTAACTTGGTGGTATTAGCACTAACCTGGGAGGTGGGAGACCCAGCATCCAGTCCTGCAGCAGTAACTCCTAAATTATTTATCCATAATAGTGTACTTTCAAGAGGTGAGAATAAGGTTGTTGCGTGTCTGATTAGTTCTGTGGCTAGGGAACTCGCTTGAAAGGGGTCAGATGCCTGTTCAAATCCACTATCTCCCCTTTTGGGAGAGGTGGGACTTAAACTAAGGGGTCTCACAACCCAGCTGACAACCTTAACCACTGGGTTAAAAGTTATGAAGGAGTTGTGCCCTACCTCCATTGCCTGTTTTGTGTATGTTTGCTTGTAGGGGCCATATGTAGTAAATGAGGTCTGAGGACACCTGCTGAATTGGAGAAATGCCTTTTTTTCACCAGTTCATGAATTGCACTGAGGCTTGGGTGTCCAGATTTATAGAATGGAGCTGTAGTTCACATGTTCAAACAAAATCATAAGCAAGTAGGAAACCTGTACTGCACAAATTCAGGTGCTGAGTGAGTTAGATGTCTAGAGGATTTGGCAGCAGCTGAGGTGGAATTTTTGTGCATCCAACTGAGACCAGATTCTGGGACTAAAACACATATATCCTTTTGTGAATCTAGCCTCATGTTTTTCCAGTACTTCCAGTCAGCTGGGTAGTGAGAGAACTGGAGTGGTGTGTCAAACCACTATAGATGTGAGAAGGCACTGAGCTGTGTGGCTAGCAGCCAATCTTATCTCTATGCCCCTAACCTGGGGTGAAATTCAGATTGATTTATAAACTGATTCCCCTAAGCAATTTTTTTTTTTTATTTTTTTTTATAAACAGGACTGCGTGGGACCCATATGCAGCATGCTTACGACTTTTACAAGCCAGATATGGTGTCTGAGTATCCTGTGGTTGATGGTAAACTATCTATTCAGTGCTACCTCAGTGCATTAGATCGCTGCTATTTTGTCTATCGCAACAAAATCCGTGCTCAGTGGCAAAAAGGTATGTATTACTGTGACATGTTCACAAGCATTGGTGGCACTTAAAATTTTGTCAGAGCACATAATGAGACTGGTTGTAAAAATAATGCATATATCCCTGTATATCTAGTCTAAGAAATCTTTAAATATTTAATATTTATTTAAATCAAGATGTATACTGAAATGAACAAAACTTGTTTTTGGTTTTATGGGGGAAGTGAAAGGAGGTAGTGCACATTGAAGTAGTATCTCACTTCTGTTCTAGAACATGTAAGATTAAATAAATGTCAGAGAAGCAGCATCAGTTACGAGGACTTTGGCTAGCTTATACCTCCAGTGTACCTTGCCTAGCAGGATGTGTGTATTTGATTTTTTTTAAAGGTCCCTTAATCCTGTGACACTGAGATATTAAATTGTTCAGCAATTGTACAGAATAAATTAGGGCTGTCAAGTGATTAAAAAAATTAATCAAGATTAATTGCACTGTAAAATAATAATAACACCATCTTTGTAAATATTTTGGATGTTTTCTACATCTTCTAATATACTGATTTCAGTGACAACACAGACTACAAAGTGTATAGTGCTCACTTTATATTTATTTTTATTACAAAACATTTATGCTGTAAAAAAAACAACTTCAGTTCACCTCCCTGAAGTATTGTAGTGCAAATTCTATCATGAAAGCTGAACTTAAATTCTTCTATATAATCAATATATTTGTATCCTATTCAAAAGAGTCCTTTTTTAGCTCAGCGGGCGGCACGGGTGCAAAGGGAGGTTGACTCTTCCGTGGGCAGTGCAGAGTTTGGAGGGGCTCAGCCCCCTATTGTAGGTGGCATAGGACTCAGGGATGGGGGTCAGCCCCCAAGCTTGAAGGGGTCAGCCCCTGGGCTGGGGGGGAGTAGACCACACCATGGGCAGTGCAGAGTTTGGGAGGGGGGACACAGCCCCAGAATCAGTCAAACCCAGCCCCAGGAGGCAAAGAGAGGGTGGCTTGGGTGAGCCCTGCCGAGGGAGGGAGGGAAGGGAGAGTTTGGGCAAGCCCCTGCCCCTACCCCAGCTGTTTTATTTAAAAAAAAAAATATGGTCACCTGGGAGGGGAGAGATATGGGTGTCAGGATCTTTACTTTTTTTGTTTACTTCTCGGCTGGAGCTGGAACCACAGCTTCAGGTTTTTTTCCTCCTTTCTGCTTTGTTTTTCCGTGCGCCCTCTAGTGGCGGTTTGCATTACTGCACCTTACCAGAGAAGCAGCTCATTCTGGTTTGTCAACCTCTGTGATTAACGCGAGTTTATTTTTTTAACGCATTAATTCTGCCTTGAATTAATTGCAGGTGTCAACGCCCACTAATTAACCCTAAAATAAATATAAATGTATTGGTTCATATTTATTGAGCAGCACTGTTTTGGAGATAAATAACTACCTCCTGCCATTGCTAAATCTGACCAATGTGCCAAAATACTATTATTATTTTTTTATGTATCAGCACAATCATATGTCACTTTACAGTACTGGCACAGTTTGCCAATTGTTTTCTAAAGAGCTTCTTTGGCCAAAAATTACCTTATATTTTGGAATACAAATAACTGCAGTGCTTCTAGTAACTTGCCAGCAAAGTCTGGATTTTACAGTAATCTGGATTCTACCATACTGTATGTAGCTTGCTTTAAAAATAGTGGCTATTGTGAGCAACTATACATTTATTGTTATAAATTACGGTGACATTGGTTTTTTTTTTTGCCTTTTCCAGAAGGAAGTGACAGAGACTTTACCTTGAATGACTTTGGCTTCATGATCTTCCATTCTCCATATTGTAAACTTGTACAAAAATCTGTGGCTCGACTGTTGTTGAATGATTTTCTTAGTGACCAGAACTCTAAACCAGAAAATGGTATTTATAGTGGCTTGGAAGCTTTCAGGTGAGAACTTCTATTATTACTTAATTAGTCTGAGGAAGAAGGGAATCTAAAATGTGCTATGTATCTTTTATGCTTCTCTCTTTCAGCTGTTATAGTGAATAGCAGCAATTTCTAAACCTCACTATTTTTTAAAATAGGGACATAAAACTGGAGGATACTTATTTTGACAGAGATGTGGAAAAGGCCTTTATGAAAGCTAGTTCTGAACTCTTTAATCAGAAAACCAAAGCTTCTTTACTTGTATCCAGTCAAAATGGAAACATGTACACCCCCTCAGTCTATGGCTGCCTTGCTTCTCTTCTAGCACAGTAAGTATAAAGCCAGAAAAATGAGAAGTTGTGACTTGATGTGTTCACTCTTGGGGAAAACTCTAGAAACATTTTTCCAACAGGCTTACAAACTAGCTCCCAAATTTTTTTTCCCTAGGATGAAGTTTAGGTAGCAATCGTGGTGGTAGTGGTGGTGTTGTTTTTAACCCAAACATAAGTTTAGTAAAGCCCTCTAAATTTATTAGTCATGCAGTTGAAGTGGGAAAGTAGGCTGTAAGCATTCCAGTGATGGCATTGTCCTGATAGTATGCTGTTTTAATAGTTGATAACACATAAACATAGTTGCATCAAGTTTCTATTCTTGAATTAACAACATTTTAGATGTTATTTTACAATGATCAAACTAGAAAAACCCCACCTGGTTTCATTCTTAAAACCTGAACACATGCACATGATTGCTAGATCAGGAATCAGAAGCCTTTCCTATCCTGCCTCAAGTTATGGCAGGGTTGATTTAGATGATTACTAGAAACTGGTTGCAGATCAAATGATTCTGCATGCATACTTAACAATGTGAAACCAGCCTAAGCAGGTAATTTATTTGTATGTGCTCAAGTCTTTCATACTTCATCCACCCACCCATCTTTCGTGAGTTGCTTCCCTATCATCCAAACTAATTAGTCTCTGACTAAAGTTTTCATTTACTAGGGCACACCTTTCCCAGTCTCCAAACAAATTCAGAGGAGAGAAATCAAGACATCTCTTCCCTGCCAAAACAAGCATATCCATAGAAAATCTTCATTTGTTTCTTTTCAGACAGTTCAGGCAAGCATCAGCTGTGGTGCCATCACTGTGACAGCACCAAAGGGAACTCTAGCAAGTTAACTCCTTAGCATCCACTTTCTCTCAGTACTAGTTTGTTAGTTTTCTTAGGTGGTGATGTGTTCTAGGCCTGGAAAAAGCAAGTAATCTGAGAATTGTTGTGCTCTGAACATAATTTGATACCATTCCTTTAAATTAATTTTGAGGATCGCTGCACTGCAGAGTAAGGATGTTAAATAGCGGTTATCTAACTAATCGTGTAGTTGATACAATTTAATGACTACTACGCAGAGCCCCAGCAGGGGTAGAGCCAGGACTGAGCAGTCCCAGCTCATTGCCAGCTCTGGGAGTCACCTACGCTGTGGCTCTGCATTTTAAATGTAGTCAGAGCCCGGCAGCTCTTACAACATTTTAAAATGCAGAGCTGCAGCATCCCAGACCCAGCACAAGCCAGGACTGCTCGGTCCTGGTTCACGCTGAATCCAGCAGCCCCTGTTCATGGCTAGCCCTGGCCTCTGCAAACAGAGGCTGCTCCAGCAGCAGCCCCTGGCCGTGGGCAAGGGCTGTCCCGGTCGACGTTTAACAGGGGCTGCTTAGCAGCAGCAGCCCCTGTCCCCTCTCTGCTGCCTCTGATAGAAGCAGGGGGTGGGGAAGTGGGCAGGCGGAACCATGGAGACAGCTTTTAAGCAGTCTCCCCCAGCACCAGCTCCTATTTCCCCCATAGAGGCAGCAAGAGGAGTGGGGAAGTGAGTAGTCAATACTCCAATTGACAACCCAATAAGCTTTTGCTTTTATCTTTCATCTTGTTTCAAAGATCATTATTTAGTGCTGTAGATGTATGTGGCACTTCTCAGTTAGAAAGTGAGATCTTTTCTGTGAGATGAATACAGTCTAATACGGGTAATGCAGTGTGTAGATGCCTCACCTGAAGAGGTAGTAAAACAAATCTTGCTCCACACTTTTTATATTGCGTGTTTTATGTATAGGAACTGTGGCTTTTAGTTAAGGTGTGAGCTGCACTGATCCAATAAACTCCGACCTTTGTGGGCTTCTTTCAGTAAGCTAAATATTACACTTGGTTATTTAAAATTGGCACCTAAGCATAGTTCTCTTAATTCTTTTCAACTATTGCTCCATGTACAGGTGCTCCCCACAGCAGCTAGCAGGACAGAGAATTGGTGTGTTCTCCTATGGTTCTGGTTTTGCTGCTACACTCTATTCCATTAGAGTTACACAGGATGCCACACCTGGTAAGTCAAGTATAGCTTTTTTCATTTGGACAACTCACCTGAAAAGTTGGCTATGCTAAAATATTAGTATAAGTGGAAATGCAACAGACTGGCTAATAGTGATAGAAGTATTTCTGTATGATAGGGAAAAAACTAAAAATCAAGATGCTGTTCCATGATGTTCTAACTCCCAAAAGACTAGCTTTAACTTTTTGTAATTTATAATAATGTAATTTTTTTGTCACAGAGACCATGGAAATCCATGTATTAAACTAAAACTACATTGCTAGAGATTATAGGAACATCTTTTTGAAATATTAGTGCATAGGCATTTTACTAACAGTGTTAGTATTTACTTAGTGAAGGTTTTGTGTGTTTGCAGGTTCTTCCCTGGATAAAATAACTTCTAGCCTATCTGATCTGAAAACACGACTTGACTCAAGAAAGTGTATTGCACCAGATGTTTTTGCTGAAAACATGAAGATTAGACAGGAAACTCATCACTTGGGTAAAAGCATTTTCATATAAAGTAAATTACAATATGCTTAACCAAGTGAATTCCTGATACTGTTATCAAATCCCTGAATTCAGTTAAGGATCAAAGTCCAGGGCTTTCAGACCTTTCTAGTTGTACATAGTTTCAATCAAGCATGGCAGTAGTTTAAGTATTCATGGCAGAGTTTGAGCTGAAGTGGAGATCAGACTTTGTTATTAGTACATTGGTTTATCTGCTATTGTTACATTTTGGAAAGGGGCAGTAAACGTTATGATAACCATCAACAATCAGTTAACAATATTTTACTGGTTTCCTCATAGCAAACTACATTCCACAGTGTTCAGTGGATGATCTGTTTGAGGGAACATGGTACCTAGTGCGAGTGGATGAAAAACACAGAAGAACTTATGCTCGACGTCCAGTGCTCGGTGATGGACCCTTGGAAGCAGGAGCTGAGGTTGTCCATCCAAACATAGTTCATGAGGTGAAAAAAAAAAATGTTAATAGCAAAATTATTTCTATATGGTGGTACTATACAGCCTTCCTCTAAGAGGAGGACAAAGGACCTGATAGCTTATTTCCATCTGATTTGTTAAAATAGACAAAATAAGAGCCAAAAAAAAATCAGACATACATTTAAAAAAAAAAAATCTCACATGCAGAATGTTATGTTGCAAGAGCGACTGAAGCAGTTTGTGTATAAGCCAAGATTGCAGAAACATCCAATCAAACTTGAATAGCTAAAACCAAACTTTCTAAATAGTGTAGCATGAATTTTGTCTGGGAAATAATACTGGGGGTGTAGGAAGAAGTTAGGAAATCTAAGAATAAGACCTGGAAACTTACGTTTTTAATTTGTTTTCCTCCTCAGCTTATCCCAAGCCCTGCTAAGAAAATGCCAAGAATTCCTGCAACAACAGATTCTGAAGCTATTGCTGTCTCTATTTCCAATGGAGAACATTAATTTACCTCTGTGAGGTGGGAAATTAATTAAAATTGGGGTTTGGTGGGGAAGAAAAAGGGATTAGATATTATCTATGTTTCATTGTACAGTAATACTTTATTGGCGCATGGAAAACTGTTTAAACTCCTTGAGAGGCTAGTTTAATGTGATTTTATAACACTAAAGCATGAAAGTATTGGAAAAGGCAAAGGTTCTATGGGCTTTCATAACTCTGGATATTGGTGTGGTTTCATAAATGGTTCAGGATTGTGTGCACTAATTACAAGATCTTGGTAGTTGGACACAGAAAAACAGAAACTTTTACTTGACTTCCCAATTTTTTTAGTGAACCCTTTTAAAATAGATTTAATTTTTTTTTTTTTTTTTTTTTTTTGCATGAACTCCTATTCTGGAAGTAAAATTTTCTAAAAATGTGTAGAGGGGAAAATGTGTTCTCTCCTCTCCTAAACAACTATGATCAAAACCAATTCTTGCCTCCCCCCCAAAGTGTGTCTGGTTTTTAATGTTGGGGTCCTCGGTGCCTTGACAACAAGTAGTCAGTTTTCTAAGTACACCCATTTCTTCCAATGCCAAGAAGTTTGTTAGGAATAGGCATCAAGTGATCAAAGTCTGTGACCACCTGGTAGCTGTGGTCTCCATCTAACTCCCAGTGCCGGTATCACATCACTTTTATCCACATAATTAAAGCCCACAGCCTTACTGTTTTGGCAATATTACAGCAGAGGCCAAGGACTGAATGAAGTTGGGAGTCTTCACGGTTCTTCCACTGAGAGGTTCTTGGCAGGGCAGCAGGAAGAAAGCTGTCTAAAATTAATAAAGGGTTTAATCCCCTAATTCTTTCAGTCTGGTACCTTTTTAAAAGAATATTCAACTTAAATGCTTATTTGTTGTTAGTGATCAGAGGGCAGTTTTCTACTTCTCAATTTTCAAATACTATAAGGAGCTTATTCATACTGACAAACGCAAGGGGCAAAGATGTTCCTACCTCTTTCTTTTACTGTATTGTTCTTAATAACAATATTAACTTTGAACTCATGATTGGTTTCATATTTCAACTTCCCCATCCAGTATTTCTATAACAAGACTGTTGCAGGAAAACACAAAAACCTTTTCCCATCTTTCCAGTCTGACAGCTGTTCATTATGCAAGAAGTAAATGCCCAAAACTAGCAGGGAGACCATTCTGAGCTATGAAGAGCCTTGATAGCTTTGTAAAATATATTTAAGTTCTAAAGTACAAATTGCGTCTGTTTAAATTTTATTTCACCTTCCACTTCAAAACTTTATATAATATAAACTCGTAGAAATGATGTGTTGCAAAATGCAGGTTTTTGTGTAATGTAGTGTTTGTATAATACACTGTCACTAAGATTTGATAACTTTTTTTTGTTGAACTTGTGTAGTCAACTTTCTAAAATTTCCTTTAATATGAACAGATGTGGGCTAATAATCTAAGTGCTTTTATTGAAAGTGGTGGAGAAATGATGCATGAAGATACGTTTGCAAGGGTTAGGGTTTTTAGTTTCATAAGAAACTAATGTGCTTCCAGAAGACTAATTTATCTCAGAATGAAGTCTGTTGCTGGCAATGGACAGGCCAAGAAATACTGGCACACACCCACGAATTAACTTGCTCTCCTCTCTAACACTGAGGCAGATCCTTTTGTAAATAAAGTTTTAGAGATATTTGAAACCAGTGTTGGTGTAGTGCTGAATTGGTGTGGAATACATCTCTTAAATGGATTAGGAAGAATCTAGTGGCCCAGCAAACTCTGGTGAGTAGTATGTACAAGTTACTGATCAGGGAACCCAAGATATGCAGGTGTTCTGGTATAAATGTTTCCCTTTTCTGTTGCATAGTGGACTATTAAGAGGAAAGTTAATCAGACTCTCTAGTTGACACTTCTGCCCTAAAACATGATTCTAAATATTTTGGGTTATATCTTTCCATGTTATATACAGCTTGTTCTTTAAACTCAAACCAGTTGTAACAATTTTTTTCTTGACTGCCCTCTTGCTCAGCACTCATCTATGACTACAATGCAGTCAATTTCCATAACCTTTTTTAATTCCAAGCTCCTCTTTACAACATAAAAGCAAATGAAGGAATACTGTGCACCCCTTTTTAGCTTTAACAGAGCTATTTAAAACCCTACCAGGCCAATGAAAACATGAAAAGTTGTTTTTTTAAATTTAAATTCTGGTTGTCATACAAACAGAAGCTGTGCAGCTTCAATTTTTAATTGGCCAAACTAAAGCCCCAAGGGACTGACCTCAAGCTGCCAGTGTAGCTGTTTTAACTTTGCCAGCTTATACTAGTGTAACTATTGAGGAAACATTTTTACAGCTTGTGTTAAGTCGATATAGGGAGACCAGAGCCCCAAACTTCTGATTATAGTAGAAAGGGGTATGCTGCCTTATAGACAAACATTGCATATGGCAACTGTCTTTTTATAAGGGGACATAGTCAAGGAGGGCTCTACTACAAGAGACTTCTAAGGTATTAAAAAAGTCCCATTCTTGTGTATGGGTTTTATGGTTGTTCTTGTTTTGCTTTTAATGATTTCTAGTATCAAAATCAAACTGTTTTTGATTTCTGTGCTAATCTTTACTACTGAAGGTAACATGAGCCAGAAGTACTGCATTGTGGTATGTTTCCTTTGTTAGGGACATTAGCAGTGAAGATAAAGGCAGGTAAAGTTAGTCTGTTAGCAATATCCCATGCACTTCATTTGGAACAGGACTGGGTACACTGTTCTGCATTTTTGTTGCCTCATCTTCGTACTTACTATTTCACACAGGATAAAACTATACAAAGTCCTATAGATGGCAGCATAGCTGACTATACCTAGGAGTCATAGCATCTCTCACAGTGGTACTAAAAGGTGCACAATGTTTGATTTTTGAATTAGTGGAACAGAATGTAAGGGTTTGTCTTTCAATACAGGATAACTTGTGATCACAACAAAAAATAGCTTGACAAACCAGGGGTATTTTTCAAAAGCTGATCCTGAACTAATAATGGGGGTGGAGGGAAGGTTAGGTATAATAGCTAAAAATGAAGTGCTAACAAACATTTAATGCCTAATATATTACCAGTTATTCTTGTCTTAAGTAAATAGTTGTAGATTTCTTGTAAATAAATATGCACAGCTCTTCAGTAATCAGTCGCTTTTGATGACCAGATTTTATCTGTTGCAAACTGACATTTAGATTCCTCTGTGTGGTGATTTAACATCAGGATAATAAAGTTCTATATCTGCAAGTGACCACACATTAAAAATAGCTGTCTTAAAAGATCAGCCCAAATATATTTAGTAATTCTACTCCGTTATTAAAAGGAAACATCCATTAGACAATTTGTATTTGTTAATGGCTTTCATTGAGGTCTGGGGCCAAAGTGCAAACACAAACAAGTCTGTTTGAGCACAAGTCCTCTGAATGAACTGACACATTTTGAGATTTAAGGCAGTTTTGGTTTTATTTAAAAATTACAAAAATGTAACCTCAAAGCTTATTGTGAAATCAATAAAACCCCTTGTTAAATGTACTGAATGTAAAGTCTGCTATATGCAATTCATAAAATTGAACACAACTTGGATGTATGCCTGATACTCCGGTATGCACTATGACCTTTCTTTAAGTCCTGCTCTTTGGGTTCTGGTTGCATGACTATAGGAACAGTCTCCAGGGCTCTTTTCTTTTGTACTCTGTGTAAAACAATTCGGTAGATACCAGTTATTGAGCTTCGAGAATCTCTCCCGCGGTTATTTTGAATGTGTTCTTCTGTAATTCCCAAATCTTCTAATGTATTTTTCACTTCAATTTCCTCCTCTTTGAGGGTAGTGGTCTCTGTCAAATATTTTGGATCCAGTTTAAATGGGTCCAAGGCTTTTGGATACTGTATCCCTTGCATCCATTCATTCTTCATAATACATTCGATAGAGTACCGTGCAGTTGGAACTGGCTGAAGAACTCCTCTGATCAGTTTCTGGCAAGTTTCTGAAAGATATGGGGGGAGGCTGTATGTCCCATCAAGAATGCACTTCTTCAGTTTGGCCACTGTTTCAGCTCGAAAAGGCATCGTACCAGTTGTCATAAAATATAAAAGGATGCCTAGTGCCCATATGTAATACATTCGATAGAGTACCGTGCAGTTGGAACTGGCTGAAGAACTCCTCTGATCAGTTTCTGGCAAGTTTCTGAAAGATATGGGGGGAGGCTGTATGTCCCATCAAGAATGCACTTCTTCAGTTTGGCCACTGTTTCAGCTCGAAAAGGCATCGTACCAGTTGTCATAAAATATAAAAGGATGCCTAGTGCCCATATGTCAACA